AAAAACATACAAGATTAAACAATAAAACAATTTTTACATTTTTTATTAACATATATAAGTATTTTCTACACATTGTCATACAAATTTAATTCACGAGTTAAATTCTCACGTTTTATTACTCCTTCATTGCGGTCTTCGTTGCTTAAATCTAGTGGATGCAATTCTTCGAGCATATTCTGAGGATTTCCTACCAGTATCGGTATGTCGATTTTGTCGTTTCTCAGTAAACAAATGTTATGCAAAACACAACAAGCAATGAGGTAGCGTGGTATCAGATCCGTTCGAGTCATTGGAAGTTTGTCTAGTAAGCAACGCCAGCGTCCTTTCAATAACCCAATAGACCGTTCTACTATCATACGTGCAGATGACAACTTCTTGTTAAAATTGGTTTCAGCTTGTGTTAGGTGACCATTGTCCCTGTACGGAACCATTACGTGTCGCTGTAGCGTGTATGCTGCATCACCGAGTAAATGGCTGTCTTCCGGAAAGAATTGTGCATTACACTTTCGTTGCAATCCGGAGTACATGAACGTTCGCATGTCGTGAACTGATCCTGGTTGTCCCGAATAACAACGTATGAATCTGAGTTTTTCATCGCACACAACCTACAAAAGATATAGATCCGTATTCAGAACGCATTTTTATTAGTAAAAGCGTGTTTTTATCTCTCAAATTCTATAGGACCGTATTCAGAACGCGCTTATAACGATGTTAGCGCTCTAACATGCTATAGTTTACGTTACGCATACTATAGAACTTCAGAGATAAAACCGTAGTATGCTTAACGTAAACTATAGCATGTTAGAGCACTAACATCGTTGTAAACGCGTTCTGAATACGAGCCACAATATATTATAAATTAAATAGCCATGAATGCTATACAGATAGTTCTCATCATTATAATTAATAAATGAACCTGTAATTGTATAGCATGGTAATTTTTCCTGCATATATATGCTTGAGGATGATTTAGGTGCACTTATTTTAATAAGTGTACCATCAATAGCACCAATTACTCGTGGGAATTTGTATTGTAGTTCAATTGCAGTCCACGTTTCTTCAGCTTTTTCCCTCGTTGGCCAACTTACAAAATCATTTCGTAACTTGTACAAAGCCTTACATACTCTCAATAAACTTCGCCAAGCAGTTGCCATTCCTACGTCAAACTTTGTACATACCGATCTGTAATTGCAGTCATATTAGCATTTTTAACCATACTTAAATGAACAACGATAGGCGTTCCTTCACTTCGCCGATAGAGTCATGGGAGCCAAGGCCCAGGCGGAGAGGGATAAAGAGAGGGCGCACATCAACGACGCGAGGAAAGGTTCTGCCTCCAACAGAAGAGGCGGTAGGAAGCGACGGAGCTCCCCCAGACCCTAGACCTTGACTGGTGGACGCGCCAAGACAGGAAACTGAGACGACCGGAACGACGAGGACGACTATGACTTAGGTCGTTTTTCGTTGACGACGGACTGACGGACGGATGTGTGGGGGGGGTGGGGGTGGTGGTCGTCATGGGTGTCCGGCTTGCCGGTCCCCCTGGCGATCCCACCCTCACCCCCTCTGCCTGAACCCCTGTGGGGGAGTGAGAGGCGGGAGACCTCTCGCTCTCACATAGAACAGGGGCTAGGGTGGGTGCCGTCGGTGGGTGGTGTCCCCACCGCCGGCACAAAGGTTAGGTCGGTGGCCCTTTAGGGCCTTGGGCCGAGTCAGGGAGGTGGTTACCGATGTATAGAACCCTCCCTGGCCCACCATGGCCGCGGTTGGACACTTGTGTGGTTTTAGTGGGTAGGCCCCTCTTCCTGGTTAGGTTGAGGGGAGAGTCCCACATAACCCCGCCCCTCTCCCCGGAGGGCGGGGTATGCGTAACGCATTTCCACACGTTAAAAAAAAAAAAAAAAAAATGAACAACGATATTAAGTAATCCGTTAATTTTTTTTACCTGAACGAGTCCGGAGTTGCTAACATCCATAGTGCAATGTAAAGTTGCCTGCATGCCGATATCGAAGGCCTTCCAAGAATTTGTGGCCAATTTGCCAATTGTGGTCGAATTAGATCCAAAATGTACTCAAATGTATTTCTGTGGAGACTGCAAAAATATAATATATATGGTTGGAATGATATATTTCATTTCATTTGAAATAATATTCATCAATTAATGTTTTTAGTGAGCGAAAAATGTAACACTTTAAACCTATATATTAACAATAATAAACTAGAAGAAGAAGCCTATAACGGTCGAAGCTAGATCAACGTGCTTATAATAATTGTGTGAAATTTTATATACTGCGTATGTAGTCCCCCCCGCGACGCTGATAGATTTTCAGCATTGACGCATACATATTCACTACCGCAGTAATATCACTAAGTTAAATTAACAAGCAATTTAACAAATTTGATGCCATAGCATCTTATAGATCTTAATACTATGTTGAAAGACATATATTAAAATTTAACGATTTTTATTATTAATTTAATGTAAATTAAATTAATAATAAATCAAATTCCGTGAAAAATAAGATTGCGAAGAATATAACAAGTTGGCGTTTCGTCCCGGCTTCCACTACTGGACTCATCAGTAAGGTAATGTA